AGGAGACCCTTATTCCCTTCACAGAGCTACAATTCCAGAGTGGTTTAACAATCAATCTGTCTTCACAGGCATCTCTGGGAATTGTCTTTTGTCTGTATTGTTTCTGAAGTATCGGTGGGTTCCCATGAGGCAAGACACAGTGATAAGAGCAAGAACCGTGATTGGCTATCTAAACTTCCAAGCTGCGAATCATGAGTCAAAGTTTAAGGGCCAATGGCAGAAGCCCATATCCTGAAATGTTCTGTGGTTGGATATCAACGCATCGAATCAGAACACACGGGCTCAGAATCCTTAGTCTAGACTCAAGCTCAGGCAGACACAGACCACTGAATACATAACAGTACCTGCTTCCGATCAGTTTCATTTGGGGGCCATGAATTCTATGGTTATACCAGGGGGTGAAGAAAAGAGAGAAGTGGCTCTCTGTCCATTTCCTCCCTATACTATGCCTAATCTTGCTAAACTCACAGCATTTCCCAACCTGGTATCAATGCAGCATTCGCCAGGTGTTACTGGACTCTAACTCCTATCATCCCTGACCACTGACCCAACCATTGGGAGTTGGGATTCCAAGCTACCGGCAGCATACCTCCCCCATGAGGTCACTCATGTCCCTCAATAGTTGTCATGGTGTGGTGATTAAGAGCGGTGTACTCGTAATCTGGTGAACTGGGTTCGCTTCCCCGCTCCTCCACATGCAGCTGCTGGGTGACCTTGGGCTAGTCACACTTCTCTGAAGTTTCTCAGCCCCACTCACCTCACAGAGTGTTTGTTGTGGGGGAGGAAGGGAAAGGAGAATGTTAGCCGCTTTGAGACTCCTTAGGGTAGTGATAAAGCGGGATATCAAATCCAAACTCTTCTTCTAAACTAACCCAGCCATCCTATTGCCCTCCAGATTTCTTAGGCTGCAACTGACATCAGTGCCAACCAACGTTGACTGTAGGTGATGGGAATTGTAATCCAAAACATCTGAAAGATACCCAGTTTGGGATATCAGTATTAGTATCAGATTAGAAAACTGTACTTAGTTGTGTTTTACAGGGATCCGTGCTGGGTCAGCAGCAGGCAGCAGGCCTTGCTAGACAACTACACTAGTGATGAGAAAGTGAAAAGAAGGCATCTCATATTTGTGTATGTATCTGATCGCTTGATAAAGAACTGGAAACTTCCTTTCGAAGACGATTCATTTTCTTTCATCAAGGTGGCAAGATACGCCCTTTGGCTGCGTTCTGTTTTCAAATTGACATCTACAACACCCAAAAGCACATCATAATTTATGGATGATTATGAAACAGTTTATTTGAGATTGTAATTGTCGTCATTGTTACAGGATGAAAAGTTTACATTCCCCAAAGCCACCTACCAGAATGGCAAACAGCATCATCAAACAAACCTTCAGTTAAGTGTGCGCAATAAAGTTTATTCACAAAGCTCAGTATTGCAAGATGTGATGGGAAGAACTGACAGATTTATAGCATAAGTTGAAGAATATTTACTCAGAAGTAAGACATTAATTGGATTTCCTCCCCAGTAAGAATATTTATGCTTGTAGCCTTAGGCAGGCAAAACTGAGCATCTTTGGCATATTTTACAAAAATGTGAATGGAAGCCACAGGTAATTGCTACCTCCCGTGGCTGCAATATTCACACAATAATACGGGGGAAGGATATCAGCATTTGAAAATGGCACAAAAAAGCCACACCAGCATGCATTTTAGAATGTGCATCTTCTGATAAAGTACACCTAGAAATACATATATTGAAAATACATATATTGAAATACATATATTAATTTGATTCTGAACTGATTTTAGAATGTATTTTAATTAATTCACTGTGATTTTATGTAAACTGTGTTATTTTTACTGTTGTTAGCCGCTCTGAGCCCGGCTTTGGCTGGGGAAGGCGGGATATAAATAAATTATTATTATTATTATTATTATTATTATTAAACACATATTTAAATATTTTAATGTATTTTAAATATGGCTACTACTTGGATTTTTTATTCTGTTTTTATTGCTTATGATTCATTGATGTACATAGTTCTTGGCTTTTTTAAAAAACAAAGTAGTGTGTAAATGTTTTAAAATGAAATAAAAACATATGCTGTGGCAGAATACATATTTAAATATCATATTGCGGAGTAGTTTGTTTGTATTTTAAATTACAGTTGCATGTTGAAACGGGCCCCAGCAAATTTATGAATGATCACAAGAGAAATGGACTAGAGGCTCTGCATTTTTTTTCTTTTAAAGGAAGGTAGAGAATGGGGAAATGGTGAGAATTGTGTTGTTATACTTTCTCAAAAGATGGGCCCTTAATGACAGCAGACCTAAGGCGACACAGCATGAATAGAAGGAACATCTTGGAAGGCACTCAAACAAACATAACATTGAGAATCTGATACTTAAAACTTAGACCGCGTATTTAAACTGCCAAATCAAAGTAGGTTGCAAACATTACAGCAGGCTGATGGGCTAATATTTAAACTGCTAATATTGGTAAGGAAGTTTGTTTTTAGAATAATTCAGATAATTTCACCTTGGTGAGAAAGTAAGTTTGAGAACTGGGCAATAGGTTGGTGAAAATACAAGCACTGTTTGGTCACGGAATGTTACCATGGAGCAGTGCTTTTTTGCTAGAAAAATAGGTGCTCGACCTCACCATGAACACCTCCCTCATTCTCTCAAAATGGCAACACGCCCACCTGAGAGGCGCCAGAACTGAGTTCCACAGAGTTCTGGCTGAAAAAAAAAGCCCTGCCATGGAGGCCCCAGCTACACTATACACTGAAACTAGTACCAAGTCATGGCTTCCCTCAAAAGCATTCTGGGACTGTATACGATACGATAATCTTTATTGTCATTGACTCATACAGACCAACAAAATTGAAAAAATCTATATCAGACATTCAAAAACTAACAAGCCTGCTATCCCAGCTATCCCAGCCTGGTTAACCCCTAAAAACTCTGATACCCCATAATTAAATACAATATACTCCCACAGAGACTACCTTACACTGTGTTTAAAACCAAAATTGCATTTGGATAGAAACTGTTTCTCAGGTGGCTGGTCCTGGTCTTTATAACCCTGTACCTTCTTCCAGAAGGCAATAGCTGAAAGAGATCATTTCCGGGTTGCGCACTATCCTGCACTATCTCTGCAGCTTTCTTATGACACCTGGAAGCATAGATTTGATCCAAGGTGGGAAGAGTGCACCCAGTTATTCTTTATTCTCTAAATTATTAGTTTGTTAAGGGTGATGAGAGTTTCTAGAAGAGCCCTATTCACAGAGCTACAATTTTCAGAGTGGGTTTAACAGTCAATCCTTCTTCCCAGGGAATTCTGGGAATTGTAGCTCTGGGAGGGGAATGGGGAACTCGTAATAATGTTCAGCACCTGTCAGGGAACTGACATCAGTGCCGGAGGGAGAGAGCAAAATCCAGGGGGATTCCGGAGAGCGTCCCGGGATTGGGAGAGGCAGCCCATCTTCTGGGGAAGAGAATCAGCATAGCACCAGTGGAGAAGGGGGGCAGATGGGGGACGCGGCGAGGCGGTCCCATGACTCCTTGCCGGGGACCAGCGGGGAGAGTAGAGGTCCTCCGCTGCCTACGCCCTCCTTGCGCAGAAGGCTTTCGCGCAGAGAAAGTAGGAGGAGACTAGGTGTCAAAGAGCTTCTTTGCTGGAAGAAGTTTAAGAAACACCCACTGACGGATTCTGCCAGCGATTGAGACAGCCACGGGTGAGTGGCTGTCCGGACAGAAAAGGTTCACTCAGGCAACCCTGAGCCAGGTGTTTGCACCGGCTTACACACGAGCAACCCCTAGAACCACTACAGCACCCTTAAGGAATGCTTAGAAAGGGGCACGTTGCATGATGGTGCCCATTTTGTGGAATGTGCTCTCATTTAATGTAAAACAGGCAACGAAAGCTGTTTTCTTCTGGTACATGCTGAAGCCATTCTTATTTAGACAAATATTATCTTCTGGTTTTGTGGGTCAACAGGCACTGATGAATTGTATTTTTATGCTGCCTTATCCCTCAGTAGGGAGGAAAGGGGGAAAAGGAATAAAGCCAGAAGCTTAGAGTAGGAGTTATGTGACTGGGAGACACAAAACAGTGGTCAGAGCACGATGGCTGGATCTCTGCTTGAATCCTATCCCAGTCTGTGCCTATGAAAGAAGCAAGACTGACTTGGAGTCTTGATGCTATGAGCCCCTCCATTGTATATATGTGCAAACAAACCATATATCATAAAGATAGCATAGTCTCCTCTGTGCCTCATTCCAAAAAGAAACATGAATCCTGGGTTAGTGCTTGGAACCCCTGAAATCTTGCACCGCTTGGAGATTAGATTGGGGCGGCATGCAATAACAACACTTTTTGCATGCAAATCAGAATGCAATTCCATTGAACTCCCACAGCCCCCCCCTTAGCTGAATAGTTCAAAAAGCAAAAGAGAAAAAAGAATCCTATGAAATTTTTTTTAAGCCACCCACTGAAGATTAGCTTTAAATTTGTGTGGGTATGTGAAATACCATCAGGATTTCAACAATATGCATCTTGTGCATGCTAACCACATAAATTCTGTCACTTGGGCTAACATCTGAAAGAAGGAGCTGCCAAAGCAGTTTTGTGGTAAAGTAAAGAAAGCTCTGTGTAGTTTTGGGGTTGCGGGAAATTGACTTCATGTGTTACCTCTCACAGTGAAAATCGCAGGCTTTGGAGGCCAAGCAATAGCATCAAGCTGTATTTATACTTGAAGATAATGCATGTTAGTTTTGAAATAAATATCTCTGTGATAAGTTCCTCTAGAGAAGTTTACAGTTAGTGGGGACTAAAGTACAGTCACTATCATTGGCAGAGGGGTCCATGTTTAGGGGGAGCCCATGAATATTAATCCCAATGATCTCTGGTTTCATAGAATATTAGAATTGTAGAGTTGGAAGGGACCACAAGGGTCATCTAGGTGAACCCCCTGGAATGCAGGAATCTTTTGCCCAACTTGGGGCTCAAACCCATGACCTTGAGATTGAGAGTCTCATGCTCTATCGATTAAGCTATTCCAGCACAATTTCCTCTAATAGGGTTGAAAAGTGCAAATCGGTGTGGAAGCCACCTAAAAATGATGGAATGGTTTCTGCACACTCAGGACTCACCAGGCATGCAGCAGTATAAAGTTTGCAAAGTAAATGAAAACACAATTTTATTTTTATTTTATTTTTAAAAAGCAAAAACAGCTGGACCTACGAGCTTACAGAACGCTGAAGACAGCTGAGCCCATAGGTAAAAGGTAAAGGACCCCTGGCTGGTTAAGTCCAGTCGAATTTGGCTTTGGAGTACAGTGTTCATCTCTGCTTTCAGACCAAGGGAGCTCATTCCGTTTGTCCACAGACAGTTTCCTGGGTCATGTGGCCAGCATGACTAAACCGCCTCTGGAGCAACGGGACACCATGATGGAAGCCAGAGTGCACAAAAACATTGTTTACCTTCCTGCAGCTGTGGTACCTATTTATCTGCTCGCACTGGTATGCTTTAGAACTGCTAGGTTGGCAGAAGCTGGGACAGAGCAAAGGGAGCTTTAGAACTGCTGACCTTGTGATCAACAAGCCCAAGAAGCTTGGTGGTTTAGACCACAGTGCCACCAGCATCCCTAACCGAGCCCATAGAACAGAGTAGGGACACTTTTCTCTGTCGAAGGGTGCCCTCCCTCGGGGTAATCTGTCAGGGGCCACATGTTGGCAGTGGGTGTGTATGGTGCTTTCTACCAATGGCTTCTGCTTGATAGGGTGCTTGATGGGGTGCTGTTCTGGAGGGTCCCCCAAGTCCCTTTAGTTACCCAGTATCAAGACACATAGGGCCATCTTTTCTATTTCTCCTGTGATCTATTGATCTCTATGGTACAATTAGCATGCATGCTTTTCCGCAGGCATAACCAATGTGGTGTCCTTTAGATGTTGTTGGACTACAACTCCCATCATTCTTGACCATTGACCATGCTGCCCAGGGCTTATGCATGTGGTAGTACAGCAACAATTGGAGACCCATATGTTAGTGACCCCTGTTTCAGATAAAAGGACAGTCATCTGACACCAAAATCTTACAGTCTTTCTTAGACTTGATATAAAACTCCAGCCCCCAGCTCAGTGCGGTAATGGAATCCTTTTGCAGGCAAGCTGACACCTCTTACCAGCAATCGCTTACCTACACAGTGGGGAAAACAGTGATATTAGCTCATCGTTACAACAAATGATTTACAGATTGCAAGCTAAAACTCCTGCGTAGGTGACTTTCAGCATAATCTCTCATTTTGTCTGAAAATGTGAAATGCAAGATGCATTATTAAACAAATGAGCTGGACACAAATGCGAAGTATTCATTTTGCATGACGTGGATGTTCAACTTCTTCTTTTCTTAAGTGATCATAGCAACCCAGAAAATAATAACAGCAGGTTTGGTTAGCTTTATGAAGACAAACAAAGACATCTGAAATCCATTAAAACCAAAGGGAAATTTGCAGGTGGTGGGAGAAAAATGACAATTGCCTCAAATATTGACATGGATGATCGTTCCACTTTTTACTCTCTGTTGCAAAGCATTTTCTGTGAGAATAATTTAGTTTGCTTTGGGAAGGGCTGTTTCTGAACTACAGCTCCCATTACCCCTAACCATTGGCTTTGCTGGCTGGGGCTGATGGGAGCTCGAGTCCTGAAACATCTGGAAGGGCCATAGGTTTTCTGCTCCAGGTTTAGGATATTCCTGTCTCTGTCACACAAAACAGAATCATCATGAAATAAAATACTCCCTGCACGGATGTAAGTATATTTACAAATCTCCTATAGTTGATCTCTAGACATGTTTGCACAGGGAGGGAACTGCGACGTTGCCCAGCTTGACAACAAACACAAAATAATCCTGGCAAAGCGTCATTTGCCAGATGAACTTTACTATTTTCCAGGGAGGGGGACAGTTCAGCTGTCCTCCTGAGTGACCGGATGAATATGATTTACATGAACTTTGGCAGTGATCATTCTGAATAGGAATGTATATTATTCTGTTAAGTGTCTGAATGGCTTCTATTAATGCTCTTTTATTCAGGAAAATCAAATCTGCCTTTTCCAAAGATTAAGAACAAAAGAACACAAGGAGAGCCCTGCAGGATTTAGTAATGTGAAGAAGAAGAAGAAGAAGAGGAGGAGGAGGAGGAGTTTGGATCTGATATCCTGCTTTATCACTACCCTATGGAGTCTTCTTTCCCTTCCTCCCCCACAACAAACACTCTATGAGGTGAGTGGGGCTGAGAGACTTCAAAGAAGTGTGACTAACCCAAAGTCACCCAGTAGCTGCATGTGGAGGAGCGGAGATGCGAACCCGGTTCACCAGATTACGAGTCTACCGCTCTTAATCACTACACCACACTGGCTCTCAACATCTGGTTCTCATTGTAGCCAGCCCACAAGCAAGGGAAACCAATGGGAAGCCCAAAAGCAAGGCCTGGTTGCAAGAGCACTCTCCTGACCTGGCATTCATCATCATCATTATCATTTATTACTTATACCCCGCCCATCTGGCCAGGTCTCCCCAACCACTCTGGGCAGCTCCCAACAGAATATTAAAAGCATGATAAAACATCAAACATTAAAAACTTCCCTAAACAGGGCTTTTAGATGTCTTCTAAAAGTCAGGTAGTTGTTTATTTCCTTGACATCTGATGGGAAGGCATTCCACAGGGTGGGCGCCACTACCGAGAAGGCCCTCTGCCTGGTTCCCTGTAACTTGGCTTCTCGCAGTGAGGGAACCGCCAGAAGGCCCTCAGATCTGGACCTCAGTGTCTGGGCTGAATGATGGGGGTGGAGATGCTCCTTCCCAGTTGCTGGTATCCAGAAACATACTGCCATCATGGGTAGTAGCCATCGATTGCCTTCTTATCTATGAATTTGTCTAACCCTCTTTCAAAACCATCCAGGTTGGTGGACACCATTACATCTTCTGGAAGCAATTTTCACAGTTTAACTATGTGTTCTGTGAAGAAGTACTTTGTCTTTCCCGAATCTGCAAGATTGGCGGGACCCAAGTTCTAATATTGTGAGAGATGGAGAAAAAAGTCTCTCTATCCACTTTTTCCACATATAATTTTATGCACATCTCTCATTTCATTCTTTACTCATTCCTGCCCCCCCCAAACTAAAGAGTTCCAAATGTTTAAATAAATAAATAAATAAATAAATAAATAAATTGTCCAGTAGCACCTTAAAAAGGTAAAGGTACCCCTGACCATTAGGTCCAGTCGCGGACAACTCTGTGGTTGCGCGCTCATTTCGCTCTATAGGCCGAGGGACCTGGCATTTGTCCACAGAAAGCTTCCGGGTCATGTGGCCAGCATGACTAAGCCACTTCTGGCAAACCAGAGCAGCGCACGGAAACACCTTAGAGACCAACTAAGTTTGTTCTGGGTATAAGCTTTCGTGTGCATGCACACTTCTTCAGATACGATCTTCGAAATGTTGTAAATGTTGTAAGTTCCAAATGTTGTAAACCTTCCTTATAGGGGACTTATTCCTTGATAATTTTGGTTGTCCTTTTCTGAACTCTACAATACGCTTTTTGAGTTAGGTGATTCCCAAAGATTTGACAAGAAAACAGTATGAAAATGGCAGTTTTATTTTCATTCCCTTTCCTAATGACCCCTCGTATAGAATTCACCTTCTTTCCCAGCAGCCGCACACTGGGTCAGCATCTTTACTGAGCTATCCCTGACAGGATTCATTCCTAGTCAGTCACTGCCAGGTCAGGCCCCATGAGCGTATATGTGAAAGGTCACTCATGAGCACTTGAGCAAGAGTTCCACAAGTGACATGCCTAGAAGGCAAGCAAGGAAGTCATGCTTCTGCCAACATACAGCAGGTGATTGGTTGTTGTTTTTTAAAAAAACCTTCAGTTTGCTGCTGATTTGCAGAGCCAGAAGAAAACAAAACGTGATCTAGAGATGTTAGCAGAAAAAGGGAAACGAATGTGGTTCTATAACCAGTACTGTGCTTAAAACAAACAAATAAACAGACAAGAAAAGCTTAAGATTATTTCTTCATTTTGCTTTTCATCTTTCCTTAAGATAAAAAGGTCCCTGCTCATCCCCTGCTCTGTAAGCCACACAGTAAAATATACTCATCATACAATCAACAATTCGAAGTCCATATATCTCTTGATAGCTCTGTGTGCTTAATTACACATAGCCTGATGACTGCTTAATTGCTGTTTGTTTATAGCTAGCATTTAATGTCCCACCCCCACCAGAATTTTTACCGTTACTGCACCTTCCCCAATCACAACAGCTTCAGCTCATAGTTTTGATGAGATTCTGTCTTTTGGTATTTGGGTCAGCTTTCCTGTGCTCCTGAATGCTCCCCCCCTCCCCCTGGTTTGGCTACAACAGTTTAACTCACATGGGGATGGTCCCTTAGGCTATTTGCTTGACTTAAGTTCTTGAGTCCCATGTTGTCGGATTCCACATTGCGCTCATCCAACTGATCTTCTAAAACCCACATGTGGCAATGTACCACTAGGGATGGAGGAGAAATTCTATTCAGCTTGCATTTAAATGTGAGCCAGCCATACTCACATACTCCAAAACAATACACAGACTGACACACAGCTATCCTTTGAAATTTGCCGTGCAGTTCTCCAGACATTTAATGTGTACACAAATATACACATTGCATGAAAATGCATATGTTTGTGAATATAGCATACTTTCATGCATTACATTGGGAGAAACAGCTTGCAATAAAATGTCTATCAGGCAAAATTGCTTTTTAAAAAGTGAACATCAGAGCTAGTGTGGCAACTGGTCAGGGATGATGGGAGTTGTTGTCCAACAACATCTAGAGCATTGGCTTTCAGCTGTGAGGGTGGGATCCACCACCGGGTCCTAGCCTGATCTATGGTGGGTCACAACACCAGCACTACCACCATACCAGTAGAGGAGTCCCCCAATGCATATTTTGGTTAAAGGTGGCTTCATTAAACCTTGTCTGGAAAAGGTGAAGACTGCTGATCTAGAAGGCACCACGTTG